TAATTTATAAATAAATATATTTTTTAATGAATTTAATTTATAAATTAATGTATTATACATTTTTTATAATTAATGTAGGCGATCTTTTCTAACACATTGCTAACATAGTTTAATTGATCTTAAATTATTTCCTGTCTACTCCAATTTAAATTTATATATTTTCTCATTTTCAGAAGACTAAGGAATTGTATTTTTATTTTTACTCAATCAGAGTCATATCAACACACATATAAGAAATATTTTATTGATTTTTATTATAATTAAAATAAATTTGGAATGCAGGCAAAATATGAAGTACGAAATATAATAAGTAAGATTCAGATTTAGGAAAATTATAATTGTCATGAATAAACAGTATTTTATCAAGATTTGTGAGACATAAAGAACTCCTTTTAGCATTGAGCATTAATCCAGCAATGGAAAAAATTCTTGCGCTGGGTGTACTGGTTGCAGGTACGCAAAGAACCTTCTTAGCTAAATTAGTAAGCATAGGAAGTTACAGTCGCTTTTTCTTCCAAAAGAGCAATGCATCCTCTTCTGGAATAATATTTTGGCTGAGCAAAATATGGCATTCTTTTTGAAGAATAGTAATATTGTTATAATCGTTAATAGGAAGGGAATGTTTTCGAGCTAATCTCGCTATATAGAGGATGATGTACCATCCTCGACTTGAATTTCACGCTGAGCATTTCTATCATGCTCTAAAAGTTTTAAATGTCGTATTAGAAATTGCAATGATATCGTAGAATTTGAATTTAAATATTGTGAAACAATATTGAGATTTTGAAATCTTAGATCAAGTAGAGTTGCTAATATCGAATGTTTAGAATATAATTTTATTAATTAAAATATAAAATAACTTGAATTTCAGTGATCGAAAACTTATGGTCAAGCTTTTTTTCATATATTCTTTTAAGCATATTATATCTGAGCAATAAGATTTATTGATTTGTATATGAGCTTCTATTTCACTGCGAAATAATAACCCTAAGTTTATTGTAGATCCTTTTTGGGAGGAAAGAAATTCCACTGACTCTCGGAATGGATTTAATATTGCGAAAAGCTCACCTATCATATATTATTCATTATTAAAGAGTTTTAAAGATTGTTTTCCTTTATTTATAACATTATTTATAGGAATTTTGTTTACACTGTGAACACTTTCTAGCATAATTAATATGCTATGCCAACGGGTAGGGCAATTTAATTTTAAAGTTTTTGCATTAATTGGATTGGTTGGTGCAATGACTTTCTATTATCCGATTCATCAGACATATCAAAATGGTCATCAAGGTATGGATCAGAATCATCAATATCCAAGATATTACCTGCCTCATGAATTGCCTGCAGACATTTACCATGTTCAGCCTCAACTTCACATTCCAAATCAGCTACTCGATATCTGATGGCTGAAATAATTTCTTTAATTTTTTTAATGAGAATATCAATCTTGGTAACTTTTTTTATGCCATCAATTGTAACCAACCAAATTATGAAGTCCATGCCCTAAGCATAAATGATGCTCATAATCCCCTAATCGGACGCTTCTTTTGACATTGGCCCCAGCATCAGTCACCATTTGTATTATTTTGGCTTTTAAATGGAACCTTCAATACTATCAATCTCAGATAATATTGTTTCCCCAGTATGCTTTTGAGTCACATTTCTAGTTGAGGGTAAAATATTTTAAATCAAAATTTTCATCTAAATGATGAAGACTAAATGTGATATAATTTCGACGCTTGAGTGATAGAACAAAATTTTGGTCCAGAGTCAATCAAATTTAAAACATGCGCCTTTATAGATAAAAAAACATCTTCTAGTGCATCTCGACTAATGGTCCTATTTGGTAATTCTGATGAGGAATCAATTATCTTATATTTCTATTTTTTAGGCAATTTATTTTTTAATAATAATTTTATATAAATTTTAAACCTTTAGAAAGTCTGTCCTTCCTTTATTGTTTATAGAATCAAATGGAATCTAGCAGACATCAAAATATAATTTCGCCTTATTAGATTTCATATTTATTTTAAACTTTAAAAAGATATTTAAAAACTTTAAAATAGTTAGGGCTGGAATGAAACAAATTATAAATTAGATATAGTTTTAACTTTCAAAATAAAGCTTTACATAATTAATTTAATAAATTGTATGTTAAGTTTATATTTTAAAAGATATTTAAAAACAAAATAATTAGAGATGGAATGAAACAAATTATAAATTTGTTTTAGTTTTAACTTTCTATAATAAAGTTTTAAAAAAATTATATATTAAATAATACTTTAAAAAGATATTTAAAAAACATCAAAATAATAAGAGCTGGAATGAAACAAATTATAAATTAGATTTAATGTTAGTATTCAAATTAAAATAATAATTTATTATATAAATATTAATATGCTTTCTAAAAATTACAAACGCCGTGCCGCCGCCATAATAAAAATCGACGGCGAGACGGCTCGCGTCGCTGATCTCAATCGGCGGCTTTTCCAACGTGAGCCACCGGCGCACAGGTCTAAGTATAATGCCATTTTACAACATTTTTTAAATATTTTAAACTTATAAATCATAATGCCTAGAGAAAAATTAAATCCAATATATAAATTATTTACAGTATTAACAATGACACATCAAATCTGATATCATACTGGCAGTGCCGGCTACCCAAGTTAGTGTGGAAAGATGTTTTTCAACAATTAAATTTATATTATCTCCACATAGATGTAATTTTAGTGAGACAAATTTTGAAAATATATTAATTGTGCGGTTTAATAAAAAATTTTAAGTAATTGTTCATATTTAAATTAATTAATGATATTTATTTGTTATATTTATAAATTAAACATTATTTTATAATGTGCAATTAATAAAAATGAAGGTTTTATATATGTGTTTTTTATTTTAATTATGAAATAAAAAAAAATCTTCCCTATACATAATTCGAATGTAGGTTTGAATACAAGTGTTCAAACCGGTTTTAGAGGTTCGAACCGAACCGATATTTTTTGCGAACCAAACCTGAACCGTTATTTTTATTCGAACCTGAACCGATATTCGTTTCGGATCCCTGCATTTGCTTTACCAAAATTAAATAAATCTAAGATGTTTAATATTTGATTCTCATGACGAAGGCTAACTTTTTGCTAATGTTTTCAAAGAAATTTTTAGAAAATGTCATTATGCTTTGATCTTAATCAAGTTAATGATGGCTTAGATTATGACTTTTTAAATACTTATATTGAGTTACTGCATCATCAGAAAAAGACATTTTTGTCAAATTTTGAGATTTTAATTTTAAAAAAAATAGGGGTGTACCGATACCACTTTTTGAAGGCTGATCCGATCAGATTTCTAAATATTAAATTGATATCGGTCGATTACCGATCCAATATCATATCTAATTTTGTATTCTGTAAATATACCAATGGTTTTAATTTTTAATATACTTTTTATTAGTATAACATCTATAATTTAACCATACCATAACTTATGTCATTTAAATATGTTATAATGAACAGTTATAGTTTATATTCAATTCTATTGCAATTCTAAAAGTATATAAAATATTTTAATGTTAAATCAATTTTATATAATAAGTGTAATACATTAACTATATACATAATAAGGAATAAACAAATATAATTTATGAAATTTGAAATAAATATTTAAAATAATATTTAACATTAATATATCGAAGATTTCTTTTTAGAAAAACAAAATTTCCAATTTATCAGAGGTCAGTCTGCGGCGATGGTAACTGTCAATATCACCAGCTTCACTAAAAACTGATTCTGAAAAGATTATCGCACACTTTTATAATGCGCAAAAAAAATAACAATATGGCAGTGTTTATTAATAAAAAAATATACATAAAAATGGATTTCGATTTTATTTATAAAAATAATGATTTTAGATATAACTTTTTTTTAAAATTTTATTTTTGTTAAAGACGCCATTTTATATCCGATCGGAAAATTTTATAATATTGGCCGATAACCGATATTTCAAAATGGGCAAAATATCGACCCGATCCGATAAAAAATATCGGCACATCTCTAAAAAAACCAAACATTTTAATTTAAAGTTAATAAATATTTGGTCTTAAATCTGCTAATTTTCAAGTTAACCATTATATCAACATGAGTTAAATAAGAATACATTTCCTTTAAAATTGCATAAAATGAGTCCAATTGGCACTTCCCTTCTTTAATCTTTATATATATACAGTGGTTTTTATCAGGCATTATATTACTATTTTAATCGAAATTCAAATTTTCCAATAATATTTATAATATAATCTTGAAAAACACTCATCAGCTTTATAATATATTATTGGATAAAACACCCTTTTCCTTGACCAATTTTTGCTATCCTTTCCATGAATTCATTCTTAAAAAATTCTTGTTTTAAGGTTCCAAGAATTTGGTAAAACCATCAATATCTTAATCTTTTCGAGTTCACATTATCCTGGAAGAAGTTTTCAAAAGATCTTTCTTAATTTTTTCCGAATTTTTAATTTTTTAAAAATAGAATATCTTTTTTCCCTTAAGCATTTTTTCTTAACTGTTATCTTGTCTATTAATGGTAATAAATTGTTTAGATGTTAAAGGGCAGCATTGAATGTTGAAGAATGTGATACTGGTTGAAGCATATATATTTTTTAATGACAGATATTGCAAATTTTATTGTTAATGATTTATTCTGGTTAATATCCAAGTACATTTCTTTGGTTTTTATTTTTACAACACATATTTTTATCCAAATTAAATTTGATTGTAATCTACTTCTTAAAAAAAATGGGGAAAAAGTTGGGTGCAGGGTTAATATTCATTTACTGCTCATATTCCAATTTCCCATTGAAATAATAATCAAAATTCCAAGCTGGACCAAAAAATTATTAATAAAAATCAGAACCAGGCCAGTCTTGTAAATAAATCTTTTATCCAAACTAAAATCTCACAAATTGAGAATATCAATGATAAAAAAGCTAAATATAGGAGGTTAAAATTTTGATTGAGTCATAGTTATTATAACCCTACTTTTCTCAGGAAATTTTATCAAAATTGGAGGGGTGAAAGTTAACTCATAGAAATATATTACAATATTTTTTTTAAAATCCAATATATTTTAACTATCATTATAATGATACCAAAGTATTACATGACATATTATCTTTATTAATTTTAATATCTTCAGAAAAATAAACTGGTGGTAGAGCACTGGTAAGTGGAGTTAATCCAGTATGTAGATTAGAATTATATTTCTGAAATGAGAATATTGTAGGAGTATTAATATCATTTATTTCATCTTTAAACATATTAGAATTATATTGAGAGCTATCTTGAATACTTGTATTGCTGCTAATTAAGTCAGGAAAATGAAATATTGGAGTTTTAAAAGTTGGTGTTGCAAAATTTTGAAATGTATTTTGTTTAATATCATTAAAGTTAGATTTTAGATTTGGGATATATTTAAAATCAACACAGTTAAGTTCAAGTTCTAATTCATCATTTTTAATTGTTTCTGCAACAAAATTATCCTTAATATTTAATGTTTTAGGCCTATCTGGTTTTTTTGGTTGTTCATTTTTAATTTTTGAGTTATCTAGATGATCATCCTTTTTTAATAAACCATCATCTGTTATATTTTGATTTGATATTGGAATAAGAGAGTTTGAAAAACTATTTTCTTCTTCATTGGTAGACTTATAGACACATTTATGAGTTTTTAATAGGTTTTGGTATTCTTTTTCAATAACTTGAAGTTTAAGATATTCCTCCTCTAATTTATCTTTAATGCTTCTTAAATTATCAGTTTTCTGTATTATAATTTAATATATATACATATATCTAAAATATAATAAACCTGTGTCAAATAGTTAATTCTGTCAACCCTCCTTTGACGACATTTGGCAGCTGCGATTTTATTTCTTTCCCGTCTTTCGTTACGTCGTTCTAATTCTTCCATAGGCAGCTTAAATAAAAAATAGAATGATAATATAAAATATTAATAAAACGTTTTCCTCGTTGTTTTTCTTTTTGGATTTCATATTATGAATAAACTCTTCAGTATTTGGAGAGACAGGTTTTTCTAACTAACATTGACAGCATCCATCTCAAATAAAATTTTAAGATAGGTATTGTGAAAATAATTTGATATTTTATATTTTTGTAAGCCAATAATACGTGATACGTGATATATAGCGCATTCGCCCTCTAACGTTGAATATACAACAGAGCAACGTTAGGTTTTCCTCATTTCCATTTAATTGGAATTTATTAATTAAGGGGGGAAAAAAATATGAGGAGCCCTCCACACGTTTGTGGGCAAGCCGCACGTACTTGTACGAACAACAATTCTGAAGAAATGTTATTAAAACGTCTATAGGCTTAGAGGAAAAGAGAGGGACCAAAAAATAGCCTACACCCAAGAACTGCTTTTAAAATTAATTACTTTAAAGGTGGGAGGTGGAAAATTTAACTTAAAAAGCTTAAATCTTCAAGTTTTCAATTGACTTGGGCAGCATTTAAATTATAAGGGCAGTAAAAATCATCTGGTAAAAATTTTAACCAGCTGATAATTTATTTTTAAGTTTTTCCTTATAACTTGGGAAGTTTTTATGAGCTCTAACTAAAATAGATTTAAGTAACATAGACATAACTTTGAAGAAACCGCTGATTACTATGAATGGTATTGATAAGAATGAAAAACCAAAAAATTAAGCTATATCTAGATTAAAGAAAAAATATTTAAAAATTGTTAAATATCAGAAGAAGCAGCATCCACAATAGGCTTGTTTTTGTTTCTGTAAACAAGTAAATTTTCAGGTGTTGGATTTATATTTATAAAAATATATCTAAGAGGGTTCTTATATAATTATTCCAAAATTACATAAAATTGATGTTATTTATGTTATCAAATCAAACAATTATATTAAGTTGAGAATAAATTAATTCTCAATGAAACCTCTAAATTACTTAGTGAAAAATGATAAATAGTGGGGCAAAGGAAAATCCATCCCAATAGAAAACTATGGCAAACTTAAATAACGTAATTTGCCAGTACAGGCTTTCTTTATCATTAGTGTTGTTAAACAACCCACTTTAGATCGATTTATAAACGGCCCGGTCAAAATTTTAGACAAAAGAATATTATGTAAGCCCGATGATTTTGCTGAGAGACGGCAGGAAGGTCTGGTATTTAAAAAATCAGGCTTAGGATGTACTATTTTATCTAATTAAAAAATCGGGTCATTTAACAACACTATTTATCATTTATATATTCATAGTTTATAATCAATATATTAATTATACATATAAGATATTTTAATAATTTCACATTTTAGATATAATAATATATTTTTAATGTTCCTTTTTAAAATTGATATAGTAATAATCATTTACACCCCTTCAGGAATTTGCCTGTTCTTGTAAATATCAGTTTAAACTAATAAAAATTTTATCCCAAAAACCCGCTACCTTCCTCTCACCCAAAAACACACATGTAATACATCTCAATAAAAAAGAATTTGAAAGGAATCGATTAAAAATTAATAACTTTTTAAAATAAAGAATATAATAAAATTTTTAGAAAAAGGTATGATTATAAAAATGTGAAAACCCAAAATTATTTTATAAAAATTTAAAATAGTTTTATACAATAAGTGGACCTATAAAGATCTCCAATAAAATACATGGGGAAATCCCCATTTAATATTACCCCCCCCCCCCCCCCTATTCCCAAAATCCTGGCCACCCATATAGTTTTTTCTGACTAACTATTTTGTAACTATTATTTTATATTTTAGTGTACCAACTTTACAATAGGCGTAAACTAGAATAGAAAAGAGATTTCCCAACCAATAGGAAATGTGCCTTTTATCATAAATATAAAACTCATAAAAATACTCTCACCCCCTCTAAAAAATAAGATAAATATTGTAAACAATATATATTACTATAATTGAGAAAAATAAGTAAAAGGTAATAATTTCTTAAAATATTTTTTTTTAAAAAAAACTAATATTTTTATATAAAAAGTGTAAATCCAAAATTATTTTTACAAAATAAAACAAAGCCAAAGAAGGTCTATAATAAATAACCTATAGAACTCCAATAAAATTTATATGGGAATTACCAACGTAATAGTGATCCCCCTCCCCTCTGTAAAATAATCCAGGATACATCTATGAACTTTATTATTGGATTGTATACATATTAGATTATTCAATTTTGTGATTACTTAACTATACTTATATTAATCATTATATTAAAACAATCATCAACTTATTTTATAAGGTAATATTTAGGTAATTTCAATTTGTTAGTTATATTTGTTAAAAATAAATTATTTTATAATGATGTCTCTTTTGGTATTTACACTTATATAAATAATATCTAGAAATAATTTAATCAAAATATCGTGTGCTAGTCATTTAAACTATTTAAAAATATTTTAAAACTTTTTGAGTAAGTTCCTCTGTAAAAATAAAATATACCATAGAATTTGATGTCATTTATTTGGAATTTATCTTTCAGCAAAACAACTAACATATATGGTATCTCTTTATGTATTTCTGTTGGTTGGTTTATACATATTTTTATTTACATTCTTATTAATGTTCACACACAATTTATAGCAGTTGTGTAGATAAACGATAATATTATTTTTTTGCGAGGTATGGGATTACCTTTATATCCTCATCGACTTTATAGTTTATTGTGCGGAAGGAATAGGAATTTTTTTTTTATAAAAGTTATCTTTTATTTAAGATATCCTTATTTAGCAAAAGTTGCAAATACCTTATATCTCTTATTTTTATTTTAATTAATTGAATTTGTATCTAATAAACATTAATTATAATGAATCACTATCTGTATTCCTTTTCTTAAGAATCTGCAGAACTCTGTAAAACCTCCACAAAGAAAAGATAATCAATATGCACTCAATCTTATGAAAAATTTCTGGTTATATATTATATATACTAGAGGTCGGCTAGCCTGGCCCGGCACTATCCAGCTCAAAAGCTAGAAAAATAAATAGGCAAATATATTCCTTTTTCCTTTATAAAAATTTATTAAGAGCCAAGTAACTTAAACCAGTTAAAAATAATATGCAGACAGGTCGGGTCAAAAAACGTGATAAAAAATTTACGGCCCTGTTTTGGACGAGCCAGACCGGGCATGTCTACCTTAAATATATGCCATACTAATTCTATTTTATTAATAAATAAGGCAATATATCTCTTCTAGTAATTAACTTAATTAGTGATAGTGCTTCTAGGTTACCTACTCCTCTGATTACATAATATTATTAGTAATACAATACATATTAACTATTTTGCTCCGAAATATAAATAGGTTGCAGAATATTATTTTGTTTTTTATTTTGTGGGTGTCAGCCCACCTATATAAAAACATTGCAGCATATTTTCAAAGTGTTAATAAAGGAAATATATTTATATATAATTCAATTTTATATAATTTATTTGGATAATCTTAGTTTCATCAATATTACTAGAGTTTTTAAATCTTTTGCGTATCACCCAATATAAATTTATATGTTTTTTACTTCTCCGAAAATGGATTTCTGATAAAATATTTAAAAAAAAATTGTTTTTGTCACATCAACAATATTTTATCGATTTATTAGTATAATATTTAAATAAAGTATTTATCATATGTATTTCGAATGCAAACTAAATATTTAGGTGATAAAGATAAATAAATTAAATCAAATTTACCTATATGCTAATTTTAATTGTTGTTAATAAATATTCTTATATCAAAATTGGGTGGAAATATAGATGTTATTTTGGCGTTAATTATTAATCCAACACGCTAGATGCACTAATTGCAAGTATACAAAACCTTTTCTAGTTAAATTAGATAGTCTATGAGTTCAAGTCGCTTTTCCTCCCAAAAGGATAATACACCTTGTTCAGGTGTAAAATGCTGATTAGTGATCTGCATCGGGCTTAATATTTCAAGCCCGGCCAGGCCCAAAATATTTTTTAAAAATGTTTTGCCGACCCGGCCCAAACCCGAAATTTTTTTAAAAAGTTTTACCGGCCTGAACCCGAAATTTTTTTTAAAAAAATTTACCGACCCGCCGGCCCGAATTTATTTAAATATAGAAATTAATTTTTATAATTACTCAAGATATATGTTATATGTCGTTTAGTTTTAATAAATAAAATCAAATATTTTTATTTTAAAATTCAATATAAAATTGATAAATTTAGATATATTTAAAAAAAATTTCAAGGTCCGACCCACCCGCCTTGATTTTTTTAAAAAATATTAGGCCTGGACCGAACCCGAGTATTTTAAATAGAATTAGGCTTGAGCCCGGCATGAATCCGGTTCTGGCCGGGTCGAACTCGAGCCGGGTACGGGCCAGCCTAACTTTGCAGATCTCCAATGCTGATCTACTAAAATATAATAATCTTGCTTTAAATTAAATTATTCCTTCTATTCTAATATTTACCTAGAATTAATGTTTTTGCACTATTTTTTCAGTACATTAGTTTGATTTTTGAGTCTTATATACAATTTAATTATTTCGATCATTGGCATGTTTTTTTTATAATTAATCTCTTTATTGGTCAAATTGAACGTTAAAAGTAAAACATATATACGTAATTTAAAATATATAAAATAAAATCTTTATAAAAAATGTATTAAAAAAAATTAGTATATTAAATTGTATGTTGGGTGAGGTCAAAAAAGGGAGCCGTGGATGGCAATACAGTTAGATCTGCATATATCAATTGATACACGCTGTCGAAGATAGAAGCCTTCCTGTGGGTCACCAGTAATGGCGCGAATTTTTTTACAAGGAATTTGAAGAAGGTTAGGGCATGATTGCCAAAAAAACTGGTTGTGTCGGATATAATTGGTATGAGATTCCAATTGGTTAGGGAAATGTATTTATTAATTTTAGAGTTTTCCACACGCAAGAATGAGTTGATACTAAACGAGGGAGCGAATCGGTCGATGCAAGTATAATCCCATGCTAATGGAGTTTCATTACTCCAAGTTATTAAGGTCAGCCCATCTGGCCATACTAATTTCAGTTGAGAGGCCACAGGGTTCAAGGGTTGCGGGAATTTGAGCTGAGTGTAGAGCGCAATGGTGCCGTTAACTGC